ATATGGGCCTCTCTTAAGTGACAGGTGTTACCGTAATAAATTCATGTGCTAGGTAGGTGGTGTGAGGATTCCAGTAGATGATTTGTTTTGATATCAATTTGACAAGTTAACCCTGCTGCCCATGAATCCACTGTAAAAACGCCATCACCACCCCACTCTACTGTTTATTCAATGTCTGTTGAGTTGTGTGTTTATGTAAATAAATTGATAAACAGTAGGCACAGATTCCTCTAGGAATCATATGTGTTTTACACATTGCAGTTTAAGTTTAGTTTATTATATATTAAGTTTTAGGAGAATAATATCAAAATGACATAAGTCTATTTTAAAGCATAAAAAGTCAAAAATTCAATCCTAGTAAACATTCTTATTTTGAAAATTTACTATGGGAACATTGTTGCTCACAAATCATTCATTTCACATGAGACATTTCACATTACTTTTTATTTTTACAGGCAAAGGAGTAATTGATAAAGAATGCCAAGACACAGCCGACGTAATATTATTCTTCGACAACCTGTTCGACTCTTTAAATGGTAGTTACCTAAATTCGAAAAAGAAAGCAGGGAAAGCTCTTCTAGGTCCAGTAAGACCCAGCTCTATCCATAAAAAAGTTTGGCGTGATGCTAAGCAAGTTTTACATACCATGAAATTTGTTAAAAATGGAAAATCTACAGTTGTTCCAAGTATATCAAATTGGCTCCAGTCAATCGAAAATATGGAATATCTGGTTAATCAATTAGAAAAACGGCATGAATTGACGTCTCTTTGGATGAGGCACTTTAATCAGGACCCGCTCGAAAATTTTTTTGGCAGCATTAGAAGCCACGGGCATAGAAATGTGTCGCCCACATGCGCTGGTTTCGAAGCTGCCTTCTCCTCTTTATTAATTAATAATATGAGCGGGTTGCATTCAGAAGGTTCAAATTGTGAGCAGGATTCATGTACTGTTTTTGAATCTTTGAATAATATATTTTTTGAAAGTCCCTCTTTGACGTCAAATCTAGCTGCTGAAACGCAAATTGATTATGAATACATAATGAGTAACAACATCTTCTTAGATTTAGAAACAAAAATTAAGAATGTCAAAGTATTTGCACAATTGCAATATGTGGTAGGGTATGTTCTAAAGAAAATCAAAACTAAAGTTTTTAAAAAATGTAGTGTTTGTAATACAAATCTATTAAATAAAGAAAAGGAGGATTCCTATATAACATTAAGAGAACACATAAAAAACAAAAGTTGTTTAACGTACCCTGCTACTGAACTAATAAATTGTTTCTCAAATATGCAAGATGTTGTTACTTATATTATTCGAAATCATACATGTGACAAAAATATAAAAACTTATATTAAAACTATATTTTCGGTTGCAATAAATTACAATTTCATTTTTTGCAATGAACATAAAAAAGGAATTATACGAACATTAGAAGATGTATCATGTAATTTATTTTTATTTACTTGGTGTAAAAATATTAACAAAATTATGAATGGTACGAGGATAGACATAAATAGAGATGATTTGAATGAAGTTATGGCATATAATTATTATGTGAAAAGATTAAAGAAAAAGCAATAAATACAAAAAAGTATTTTTATTTTAAATTTCCCTCTGTCTAGTTAAAAATTAATAAACTTCATTATGAGAATTTAATTTCGAATCTATACAGAAATAATTATTCTCATGATGAAGTTTATTAATTTTATCTTCATTTTTTGTTTATCTTAGAAGAAAGCCTATAATATCTATACATACTATGTATACGATTTATGGTTATGTAGATACAATCATTAGTGCAGGTTTAAATCTGAGGGCGGCGCTGCAAGCGATTTCGACGACTGATTACTCTATCCTTGGTATAAAAGATACTCTGTGCTATGAACTGAACACTCGGCCAACGTGTGAACACTGTTTGCGGCTTGCGCCAAATTTCTTTGATTTGTGCACGGAAAACCGACACTATACGGCTCGTCGGCGAGCGTTGGCCGCAAACGCCAAATATATACAAAACGGCCCAGTACACGTTGGCCGAGCGCACTCGGCGAGCGCGCTCGGCCAACGTGTACTGGAGCCATAAGTCTTTATAATGTTTACGTGGGTGCGTGCGTGTATGTTATTCTTTATTATTATTCTTCTTTTTTTTTAAACGTATGTATGATGTGGGTTATGAGTATATTAAAGATATTGATAAACATAGTTGCGTACATAAAACGGCAGATATCAGTGTGTCCGAATTTCTAAACGAAAGGGAAGTATGTCACGCGGAAGTAATGTAGTTATCAATGTGACATGAATCCCTAATTAATTTAACGCGATAACATACTGCTGTCATTTGCGGACAAAATATGCGATAAGTATATAAATATCTAATACGCAAACATTCTCTAAAATGCCATATGGGTTTTTGTAACTATATGTAACTTTAGTAATACCACAAACAGATTTTCATGTGTAATGCATTCGAAAGACTTGCGAATATTTAAATTTTAGCGATAAATATGCGTGCGAAAGCAATAATTGACAGTAACCCCTAAATAAAGATAACCCATAGTCATGTTGGTGCATATTTCGGTCCGTTATCAAAATATTGTTTGGGTTTGATCTGAACGCTGGTAAGGTGACCTTAAATGTCAAAAAATGACATGCCAAATAAATAAATAAAAATAAAACTGTTATTAAATCTTAAATGTAAAACCTTATTAACGTTATTTTATCAATGTTTTTTTTTTTACTACAAATACGCTATTAATCCTTTTAAAAATAACTATGCCCGATATGCGTTGTAAGGCCTCTTTTTTGTCGGAATCGGAAACCTTAAGCGGCCTCGGCGTACAATCACTCACTCAAGTTTCATCGTAATCCGGATAAATGGTATTATAGAAACGTATAGAAGACGAACAAAAAAACACACACAACTTTTTTTTATCGGAAGCCTTTGCGGGCGCGCTTACAACAACTTACCAAAGTATCTGCGTAGCCCGCATGAATGAAATAGAAACGCATAAATTACAGTCGTTAAGTTTTTATTCGGATCTTAGGTAATAATTAATTTCAACATCTTTAAGATTTTACGCAAGTTTTATACGAAAATTTATACGAAGTCAACCTTCAGCCCGATTCTGTCTCTTGCAACATCTTCAAGATACAGTCATAACCATAATGCAGTAGCATACATCACCGGATATCGTTATCATATATCATCACTTAGCCCGATCTTCGGATTGTACAGATCACCACTGCATCTAGCCAGGGGAATTCCTACATTGTATTTACCTACGTTAATGCACCAAACTAGCTTTAAGAATCTTACCATCAACGATATTCGGATTTCGAATCTAGTATGACATCAAGACAGTCAAGAAGTTTCATTTAAGATGTTCAGAATGTTTTGAAGTTCCTGTAGCGATTCTGACATGATTACGATATCATCAACAAAGCGCAAGTTTGAGATGTATTCACCGCTTACAATCATGCCACGTCCATTCCAGTTTAGTGTCTTAACATTTTTTAGTACATTAGAGTTTCAGAGATATAACGTTACCTTGTTACACTCCAAGCTGCATCTGGATTTCTTTTATTAGACCGTCCTATACTTAAGCGGACATCGAAATCCGATCCGGCGGTAGGAATGACAGGTTAGTAGGACACTGGCTTTGTCGTATTTAGGGTCAGGTTACCGATTCTGTGAGGAACACAGTCCACTGTAGTAACTTTCGATCTCAGCGAGACCTTCAGGCTTCAATCTGATAATTTTGCCATTGTATTCCTTTAGTGTCGGTAATATGAAACCTCTTATGCGCCGAGCAAAGACTTTGAGTGTCTTGTTTCGGTCTATTGCCTCTTAGGGGACGCATTAGAAAGCTGCAAGTCCTGCAGTATAATTTTATCCCAAGCCAGGTGACCAACTGTTCTAATGGCACAGATGTTGATACCTCACGTCTCTTTTGCATAAGCTGGAGTATATCTTCTTATGTCTTAGACTTCCGTATACACACATATAATAACACTTAAAATTGTTGTTAACAATTCAATTTTAAGTGCTGGTGTTGGCGAGGAGTGAACATGGTTTGCTCGCCTACAGCCCGAAAGAGTCGGCTAGATCGCGGAAGAACCACGTTTGCACTACAGCATGAAATAGCAGCATAATACAACTATGTTTCTTACGGCCAGTGACAAGAACCGTAGACACTTTTTACTTTTAATTTTAACGGGGTAATCAAGAAAAAATAAAAGAAAATTTATTCTAAATGAATGTGAGTATTGATGTTTTCCTGGTCGATTTCGACCTAGATGATAAATTTCGATAACAGTCGCAATTTGCGCAAATATCAATGCGCCAAAAAGCTCTATATTAACAAAGGCATACACAAATGACCGATTCCGAACCGTTTTCATAGCAACTTCTGTCCGTTTCTAAACAAACAACAAAGACATTATTGATTACACTATAATGTTTGCAATCGATATTATCAAATATAACCGCAAACAGTGGCACTCCCCCGTCGTATCCTATGTAACGGTTATTACGCTATAAAATCGGAGGGAGGTTGTGATGGAGTCAGTATTATAGACACGAGGACAATCACAACATAACTTCGATTACAAATCATTTCTTGAATTACATATGTTTGTTTTGGCCAGGTTTCGAAAATTCATAAAAGTAAAGTGAAATTGCAGCCTATATCCAACCGCTAGGTATAGGCCTCCTGTAATTTAAAGAAATACGAATATAGAGCGATTAAGCCGCCGTGCTGCTCCAGTGGGTGTTGGCAGACTTCATATGTCCTCGAAGTATTATACCTCAGACGTGCAGGTTTGCTTACGATATTTTCTTTCACCGCCGTACTTTAGCACTCAAAAATGCAATAAACAATTAAATTGGTGACGGCAGTGATCAAACTTAGGTCGCACACGTAGTTTGAAAACACCGAGCGCTTTACTCCTGAGCTAGTATAGGTTGTAATCAAGCTATAATGTAATATGTATCAATACTCACATGTCACAAACACCAAAACAAAACGGGTAGCAGCTTCGCCATGTTTAAGTGCGTAGTCTGAAGTCAATTTGGATTTCACGTATGGCCAAACAATGTTCATGGGCACGTAGAATTGCAAGCCATATGACAGAAATATGGACAATGCCATTACAGCACGGACACTTTGCGCCAATCTAAAAATGTAGATGTTCGAAAATTGGTCAATTTTTAACTGGATTATGATAATATTACTTTATTACTGGATTTAAAATAGTATTCTGTATAACGTACAAATCATCTGGTAGATTAAGAGTGATGCTGCCATGAACATTATCTCCATATTTCAAGTAACCAAAAAATCCGATGGCCGTATACAGTACTGCTACTATGACCATTCCTGTATTGAGGACGCCAGTCCAACCACCAAAATCTTCTGGTGTCTTCATGTTATTTTCAAGGGGCAAAACCTGAAAATATATGTCATATAATTCACAACAATGTAAGTAATTAATGTATAAGTTTAGATACGATGCTAACCGTGTAGCGGCGGTGTAAGAACATCCACTGTCCCATATTGTCCCGACGAAAACAACCCAGAGTTTTTTTTATAGAACATGGGTGACAAATGAGCACACAGTCCACCTGATAGTAAGTGGATGCTGTGACCCATAGACATCTATATTTATCCTCAATTAAGAATCAAAATGCAGATGCGTTGTCACCCCTGATGACGGAATGCCTCGTTTCCAATAAAAAGAGTCGCGTCTTTCTAATAACAACTAAAAAATAAAAAGCTGTTGTTGCCATCCTGCCTGCCAAACGTGGCAACTATGCTAAATATTCCCCGTACGAGGCAATCTATGTGGGAGGTCTATGTTTAGCAGTCAACTTTTGATAGGCTGTACCGTTACCGTAACGTTACGCATCGCATCTGTTACTGTTACGTAGGCTGTAACTGTAACAGTAACGGTAACAGATGCGATGTGGTATGTTGCCACTACTAACTTCCCTTTTGTTGTTAAATTGTAAGTTCGCTATATTTTGTTTGAATTAACTTCAGAATCGAAATAACGAAAACTAAATCAAGTATTCATAATGCAATTATGAATCGAATGATTTTTTTTTATATACACGATATTATCTCTAATATCTCTTCCTGACATACATATGCGTCACAAAAGTTCACCAACGTATGAATATACAAACGTAAAAACATGATGAGTGACTCATCCTTTATATTACCTACAGTAGAATAGTATGGGATTTGATGGCCCTCAAAATGTAGAAATATATTGAAATTTGGTGTTTTAAATATCGCATCCAGTAAAATGGCTTCTGATATCGCAAAGGTTAAGTTAAAAGCTAGCTAGTAGGTAGGAAAGCGTGCCATAAGATCTAAATATAAAGGTTTGTATCAGTTATAAGAATTTAAATCTAAATCAAAAATCATAAGAAAAGAAATTTATCGTGCCGTAAATAATCCATTCCTTGAAATGACGCGTCCCAAGGGTGAATTAATCGCATTCTCTACTGACAGACGGTATATTGTAATTCCAAGCATATCAGAGCAGACGCCTTTTATATAAATTGCTACGACGGCCTGTCGCCTCTTCGATTATTTTATTTATCAGAATAATATTATGGCAAGAGATTATGTAATGTTTTCACAGTACCCGGAAGATAAATAATTATGTAAGTAATAAATTATTCAAACTGGAATTCCCATGGTCAAAGTTTATGTAGAGACTAGCTGATACTCGCAACTGCGTCCGCGTTGCTTGATATTATATTAACAAAGTTTTCGTATATGCGAAAGAAATAACACCAAATAGATAGCAGGGAAAAATATACTCTGCTTAAAAAAATTCTTTGTAAACAATGTTATTCGTTGCTTCGTTTGTAGCTATAATATATAAATTATCTGGGTTATTAACGGGAGAGCAAGCGACGTACAGTTGCCGTGTGAAAGTTCCCGTATAAAAATCGTTGTTTCTTAAAACTTTATTAACTTTATATTAAATGACGATATCGCAATAATTTTTTTTTTAGATAAGGGCCAAGTGTCTGAGAAATAAAACTTAGAAAACCTAATTGAAATCTATCCAATAGTTTGTCCGTGACGCGCACACAACTGCACACCTCTATCATTTTATTTATATAGAAGAAGAAGATAGATTACTTTAGAAAGAAGGTGTACAATATAAAATCAAATTACTAAAATATTGATATTAATTTCAACTTTATAGCTACACTTTCACGATAAAAAGGTCATGACAGACGAATAGACGGACAGATGAACAACAAAGTGATCCTGTAAGGGTTGTTTTCTTTCCTTTTAAGGTACAGAACTCTAAAAAGAAGAAGCAATCAAATCGTTTCAGCCATTTCTGAGAAATCAGTGAACATACGAAAAATAGAGTCGAATATAACCTTCTCGTTTTTTGAATTCGATTAAAACTGCCCGTTTTAACAACAGGTAACAACAACCTAATGATTTATTATCAAAAAGGAGTGCATAAGCAATTTTCGGAAGAAAAACAACACGTCATGATTCTGAAATCAGTGAAAAAGTCATTTCATCAAGTCGTTCTCTAAGTATATTTGTTATATCATACCATTTTTTACCAACGGAAAAACGGAGGGCAACGAAAAAAAGATTTTTTTTAACTCTATCCCTAGGTGGTAACTCTTGCCTTAAAGACGCCCATATTGTAATCGGACGGAAAGACTGACGCCGGCAAATTATTTCACTCCTTTACTGAACGCATTACGAAAGACTGAAGTTTGGTTCGAATGCTTGGAATATCCACAATAAACGGGTGAAGGCCTAACGATCGCCTGGTCGTCCGATGGTGGAAAGAGGAGGATGGAATTAAGGCATGTAATTCCTGCCCACACTCTCCGAAATGCGTCCTATATAATAACGGGAGGCTAGCTACTCTGTGCCTATGCTCGAGACTGACAAGATTGGTTCTAACCAAATCAAGGTCAGCAATAATCCTTTAAACTGAGTCCAACGGTGCTATGTGGCATTTTGCAGCACCAGTCCTTAAGTAACAGTAGTACACTATCATAATATTTATTAGAAAAATCCACGAGATGCCACTACGCTTGTCGTCGATATTATGTTACAATTACAACTTAATAATTATTGAACTTACACAGAAAAAATTGTAATTAACAAATATAGTAAGAAGCTCAGACTCCAGATATAAAATTTTGTATTAATAAAAATTGTTAAAACAGGGCTGTTATTAGTTTAAGAGAGTTCCCGTCATAATTGCCATATTTGTTATGCGTGTTGACGCAAGCACTCCCAGACGCCAACACCTACATTTTGCTATCGTTTCGCCACTTATTGATTTTCAGATAATTATTGCGTCATACACCAGCAACCTCAACATTTCCCTGGCATTTCTTTTGATATATTTTACAAGTAACATACTTGTACGAGAAGAAGAAAGTTAATCGAAAAAACAATATGTACCAAGACGATTAATTAAATAATTTTACAATAAAAATATAAAATCATACATTAGCATTACTACTAAAAAATTATTTTAAAACTACTAAATTACTTCCACCACTTTAAGGTAAAATGGAAGCTGATATGCTGATTGTTTATGCCTGTAGACAGACTTCTACACGAGCACGACGGAATTTTCCTTAGTTGGAATAACCTAACGAAATAATGTGTGTCAAGCGATGTCAGCGAGTAGATTGGAAAGTTATTAGTTAGTTATTGCCACTTATAGTTTTAGTACTTTCTGTTTAATGTAATTACATTTATCTGGAACTAGTGGCAAACCCGATTTTATTACAAAACCTTAACATTTCTCTATTAGGTATCCTTACTTAAAATATACACGTATTGTACACAAAAACTCAAGAAATCTCGTCAAATCCGGCAAGTACTTTTAAAATTTTAAGCAAATACCCTGGCGGACAAGTAACACTAATATACTCATTAGTGATTTCCCTTATCCAACCCACTTTTACAAAATCAACGGGACGTGTCCTCTAAGACACACCTAAGAAGAAAGGATTTGCTGTAAGGCGCTTACACGCTTATGCAGGCGTCAGTCAATTCCATTAGTCATGGATTACACATGAATGTTAGAATCATATTGACATTCGACATTGTCAAATTTAACCACCGTACATTGGGACAAAATTCGCGATACGATCCATAACATTTGGATGATTGGATCCATAACATTTGGATGGTCCAGCACTTTGCGATTTACGATTGCGACATAAGTTTTTTTCCTCGCACAACTCCTTTGTGGAATCGGCTACCAACAGCGACTTTTCCATATCGATACGAGTTAAGGAGCTTCAAGAAAAGAGCCTACACTATTTTAAAAAGCCGGCAACGCGCCTGCAACTCCTATGGTTATGCCGATGTTCAATGCCGGCGGTAGCTACTAAGATCACTAGAGTTGCATGCTCGTTCGCTCCATAAACAAGGTACTTAATTAAAAATTAATAATTTTGTACTACCGGCTAATATAACTTATTAAGAATAACTCAAAAACTATTGGTTACACCTTGATCAAATTTATATGGGACCAGCTTTCAAATAAAAAACGAATCATCGAAATCGGTTCATCCAGTAAAAAGTTGTAAGGTAACACATAAAAAAAACATACAGTCGAATTGAGTACCGTCTCCTTTTTGAAGTCGGTAGATAAAAACAATACACGCATTCTGACTGATGTGATATGTGATGTGATTCATAAGGAATATTTTACAGGAAATACACGTTACCATTTGTGATAAAATGGTGATTCATTCTAGAAAAGCTTGTAAAAAAAAGCATTGGGTAAAAGTTTAGTTATTGAAAAGGGGTTTTATACACATTTGAACTTATTGGTCTAAATACGGAACTCGTAAGAGGATAACGTCTAGATGCGAATTATTTTTGCATGAAAGATGCCTATTTTGATAACATTTTGGTCTTAATAAGGCCATACTTAATAAAACAAAAAACGTTTTGTGTAAGCAAAAAACAAGAATAACTTCAAAAAAAGGGGGAGGTTTTCATTTCAAGTGTATTTTTTTTTATAGATAGATAGATAGATAGATAGAAAATTCTTTATTGCACTCAAACAAACAAACATTTGGTACAAAGGCGAACTTAATGCCAAAAAGGCATTCTCTGCCAGCTAACCTTTGGTAGTGTGGTGAGAGTTATGGGTAGAGCCGCAACAGAGGGAAAAAAAAAACTAACTTACTTTAAAAACTAACTTCACATATTATCCAATAATATAATATTATATAAATATGTTACTTTATATATATTGACACTTCATACACACACATATATACATATATATAAATGTATATATACATATAAACAAAAATACATACTATACCAATAAAATAAAGTTTTATGTGTGTTACTTCAGAACTTTATCCTAAGTGAACCGATTTTGATGATTTTTTTTTATTTAAAAGCTGGAGCTTCTCATGTGGTCCCGTAATTTGATAAAGATTTGACCAGTAGTTTTTGAATTACAAAATGTTAACACTTGTTTTAAAATAAAATCCTTCTCTGACTATAGTACATTAGACAGGAGTGATGGTGAAGGGCTGCGGACAGAGGGCATTTCCGTGTGGTATGCATCTTTATTTTCATCATTGTCTGCACACTTTCTGACGGGTAATTAACGAAATGCCATTAATGCACGTCATATACACGTTCATTAAAATCATAATAAGTGATGGTTGTATGACAAAAAATCAATTATCCAGCTATTCATCAATCAATTTCATGCAAACATCGGACGTCACATTAGACGGTAAGATATCCGTCAGTCGTAGCAGTGACTGTGGTAAAACTAACAGCAAAACGTAGGTTAAGTAAGGCAGATCTAAAGTACGCCTAAGCGTGTAAGATACACCTTAAGAATGATGCTTTATATGTGTATGAGATAAACCGTACGTCGCCAAAACACGGCGAATGTATTTGCATGAAATAAAGTGGGTTGGCACTTCGAGTCCAGGATTAATGAACATACAGGGAAATATGCTGACCATTAAGTAAAAAGGTTTTGATAGGCTAGACTAAATTATTTGTAGCAATAACAAATTATTTTCTACATCATCAGCCTGAAGTCCACAATTAGACACGGGTCTCTTCTGCTATGTGAGGGATTTGTCATAATTGCCTTGGCAATAGGCAGTTAGAAGTTGTGAGATCTTTCTGGCATTTCTCATAGTCTTAGTTACAATCCCACAGGATGAAATTGGGTGATTGATTGGATTACACAGTCACCCCACAGTCAAATAATAATATAATAATATAATTTAACATAATATATAGAATAATTTTACATCAAACACAACATAACAGAGTTATCAGTGCAATAAATATTAAAAACTCACCACTCCAATGCCCTCAAATGCATAGATAGCAGTCCCAAAGTACAAAGGTAAATGATGCCAACCTGCAAATGCTTTCACTGTACTGGTATGTGGTAAATTTTGAAGTATGTAGTAAAATGTTATTACTAGGCCCCAAGCAGTCATTATGGAAGCAATCAGAGAAACTGGAGTCAAATATTTTAAGTTCTTCACCATTGCCAATGCCAAAATACAAGGAAATAATATAGCCAGGTAAGTGTGTACAGTGAGATTTACGTGGAAATATTGCATTGTATCTTGAAGGTTAGTAGCCACAAACAAAAAGTACACACAGCAAAATCCCAATTGTGTTATTACCAAAAATACATTGACAATATTCCTGAAACAATTAAACAGTTTTTATGTGAATATATTTCTTGTCTTATTTATTTTATTGGAATTGTAAAAGTGATATGATTTATTGAGGCAGAAATTACAGTGCATATTATTGTGATAAGTTACAGCTATCAGTAATTTATAAGAGTATAATTTGCTATTTGTATCAATGAAGTGGAAAATTACATGACATTTGTTTGATAGAATTCAAATGGCATTTATGGATTTGAATTCTATCAACAATATATTCTAAGGAACCCTGTATATGTCACTGGTTTAACAAATTTCCGCACAGCCAAAAACTTTGAAAAATGAAGATATTAGTCACTTTGATAGCTGTTATGGAGGGAAACCTAGCAGTGAGCCAAATATGTAAAAGAGATTCAGCACATTGCCGATTGTATCAGGAAGCACTTATGACATTTTATACCAACATCTTCATGTGAGGAGGATAGTTGCACATTCAGTGCCATACAGCATCACTGACTCACAGAAGCAGGCTCACATGGAATGGTCAAAGATGATTACTAAATTTGAAGCAGGCTCGTCAGGTTTACAACATTATTAAAGGACACAACTTTCTGAGGATCCCATGTTATAGCCTATTCAGAAACTACAATCTGAGTAATGTTTTACTAAAAAAATAAAAAAAAATTGTGCTTTTTTAGTATAAAAATTTCTACAATTTTGCTTTCAATGGCTTTGGATATTTATAAAAGAAATTAAAATTTATGTTGAATTTTATTCTATTATTTCTCAATAACATTAAATAATAGAAATGTTTCTCTAACTGTTAGATTAGAGTTTTCTGATAAAATATTAGAAAAAATGGATTAACCTGGAAATTATTTTTTTGTTGTGTTAATAATTTGTCTTTGTTAAAGTTAACAAATAGGAAATTAATATTTAGAGACCTAAAACAATCTAGTTAAAAAGTTGTAATTATTTGTTATGACGTTCAGGGCTATTAGAAACTAAACAAATCTATTAATGCACACTCCCCTTATCTTACCAGATTAGTGACATTCACACCACAATCAGTTTTAGTACATACCTACATAGTTGATAAATAAACAGTTTAAAACACAAACAACATATTTTCCACTGCTTATTTAGGTTGTACAAAACATTAACAAACAACTGAATCTACACTAAACATTTATATCACATAACAATTACGAAAAGTGTGTGAACTCTCAATTATTGAAACATCTTACTCTTTAAATAAACAATCTTAATCTTTAAAATGTTATATTGTTTATTTCTGAAGTTATTTATAAATAGAGCTTTAGCTTTTTATTATATATTGTTCATCATGCAATAACGATGTAATGCTTGACATTGACTGTGGAATATTATTGAGAAAAAAATTATAACAAATTTTACTAATAAAGAATGCTTTTCAAAATTAAGTACAGAAGATTTATATTCAGTTAGAAACATTTATCCATTATTACAATTTTCATGTTTTGTAAGATAAATTAAAATTAAAAAAATTATTATAATATTTCAACATGTGCATGGTACATTCTTCAAAAGGCCTGTATTCTGCAGTGAATTAAAAATATTGATAAACAGGTAGAAGAATAACATTAAAATACAATACTTAAACATTATGACATATATGCCTACATGATCAAGAATGGGATTAGAAACGGCGACTCATTAAGCATGTACCAATTACGTAAATCCATAATGGTATATTGTTATAACATTATATTATTTGGTAATTTGGAAATTTTCTGTTAATGGGGAAATATCTGAAATTAATTGTATATGTAAGTACGTATATTTCCGTCCCAAGAAAAGCCAGCTCTTGCTTGATCTATTAATGTGAGTATTAATGTCTTATCAATATTTTTTTTCTTTAATAAAATCTTAAAATTTTTCAGATAAAGTTTAGTCTAGATCACTCCTGGTATTACTCTCTATTTGTTTGTGTAGTTACAATCGGTTCAGCTATTCCGAAAATTAGCTTGGACAGACAAACAGAGAGACAAACGAAAATTTATAAAATGGTTACTCATGCCTCAATAGCATGTAAATATTTTATACAAAAATATTAAGAAACAAAATGAACAATAATTATGAAGAAAGTTTTCAGAACAAATTGTTGCTCTCAAATTACCAAAACTGGATTGAAGTTTTAGAATGTACAAAAAGACACATCTCACAATGTATTTTTTTGCAGTCTTTACCAGCAGGTGTGAACATAGATAGCAATAATGTGCAAGCGAGAGGTGAATAGAGGCAATGCCATTTTCAATCCCATTATTTAACTGCACAGGTAGTACATGAGATTTTTTTAAATATATATGATATAAGTAAAATTAAAATACATAAAATTATTTTAAAACACTTAATACTTAACAAATTTTTATACTCACTTCATCTTTTTAGCATGTGATCGTAGTGATACTGGTCCCATAGCAAAAGCATCTTCAACAACTTCTGCAAAACTCATTGCTGGTCTTTCATTTCTTATGCAAAGCTCATTAGAACATCGAACTAATATATGCATGCAGTGTGTACATATAGCTCCCATAAATAAAGTGCCAAAAACACCTAAATAAAAAAAAGACTGTGAAAGAGACTTAATATTTTGAAATTATTGCAAAATATTTAAGTTTTTTTAAATAATTCAAATTTCATAACACAAATTGTTTTTTTCGTAAGTAACGTAAATAAGAATTATATTTTTTAAATTCATAATCAATACAATTATTAACTGAAATTTTAATAATAATTTTACAAGTTTTACTACAGATTATTACCAACCAAAAAATAGCCCTGCATTTTTAAAAGCATCTGGCATTGCCAAAATGCCCGTGCCAATATTTCCTTTAAGCAAATGTATCATAGTATCAAAGTTAGACGTGGGATGTTCAAGGCATCTTTCAGAAGCAGGATGGTACTCATTTTTCGTCTTTTCAGCTTTAGGTGACAGTACTGGGCCTGTCCCTAACTCGACGTTTTGAATTTCTGTATTGTCCAGAGGACTGCTTGGTCCTATAAGTAGTGGTTGCTTTTCGTCGCTCATTTTTATTTACGTGATAATCGATAAATTCAAATGATCACACAATTTTTCACATCATATAAATAATAACTTTCTAATCGTGAGATCTGGTCACAGACGAATAAATATTAAGTTTGCAGGCCCACTAGCACATAATTTGGACACACTAAACCAAAGTGTATAGTAATATATAAAGAAGCACTAAACCTCTCAAGCATAACAAGTACAATTTTTCGTTACTAAAGTTACATTCACAGATTAAGGTACGTATCGGAGTTACGGACACAGACTAATATAATGCTTACGGATTACGAAGTTACACTGACCACAGACACTGACCAGTGACCACATAGTACAGGGTGACCATCTTTAAAATACAGATCCTGCCTCACTTTGCTTAAAAACCATAGACTTAGGATATACTGGCGTATAGACGACCTGACAGCCCGAAAACGCGTGACCAATTTTGATTTGTTATTGTGTGAGTTGGCTAGTGATGTACATTTTACTTAAAATAGCTATCGAAAATTTTTTACCATGATAGTTTTAAAATAACTAAAAATATTCAAATAACATGTTACCAGGAATAAGCTGCACCCACCTGCCTTTTCCATCATCCATAATCCATTATAGCCTATAAAAATCCACTGCTCAACATGGGCCTCCCTATAGATTGCCTCATAGGGGGGATATTTGCCATCGCTTGGCCAGCGGGTTGTCAACCACAGTTTTTTATTATTTTGAGTTGTCATCAGGAAGATGCTGCTGCCCATCGCCTCTTTCAGTTTCCCTTTGTCGCCTTTTATGACACACATGGGACGATATTGGGTAGTAGAAATTCTTTCACCGGCACCACTAGCCTTTTGTTGGACTTTAATTCAAAATGTACAAAATTGCAATAATATCTGAAGAGGCGAGGTAAGTCTACCGATAAAATTAAACAAATTTCTCCAACAATCAGATCGGAAAGTTATATTTTTGACCTTTGAAGAAAAATATTTAATGCCATTTACAATTTCCCCGGAATTTATTTCTTTTTCAACATAATGTTAATAAAATATAAGTAGGTAGTAAATATAAATAAGTATCTACCTACTTATATTTTATAAAATGTTTTGCTGGTAAAACAAAAACGAGGACACGGAGTATATAATGGCTGCTTTATTTTTTATATACTTATTACCTTTAATATTTATAAAACAGAATCGGAAACAGAAACAAAAAAACAAAATCATTTAATCTATACTAATATAATAAAGCGAAAGAGTTATTTTGTTTGTTTAAACACGCTAATCTCTGAAACTACCAGTTCAAATTTAAAATTTTTGTATATAATAGCCAGATTCATGAGGAATAGTATAGGCTATCTAGCATATAACTATCAGCTAACCTTATATATTGATTTCTGTTAAGCAAGGCGGAAGAAAAGGCGCTCTCTAACTGCTTTATCCACATGCGCTAGCGTAACATTTAGTATTCCATAAATACAATGTTCTACAAAAATATTGGTCTTTGCTCCATCTAAAAAAAAGTCTGCGATACCATATGCCTGTGGCGGCGCTGTCGTCGCGCTACAAGCGAAACATATCGAAGCCTAAATCGCACTAACAAAGTTAAAGCAGCATATATAGAATAGCTCCGAACTACCAATTGGAGCGTTGGCCGCTCCCCGGGCAGAACACCTTGCCCGGTGGGAGATCTCCCCTTTTTCTTCCACCCGCCACAGTGGTGACCCCGACGTGATATGAAACAACACAACAAACAACCTTCGGAAACTACAACTTCGAAACCTTCGTCATCATCCTCAAGTACCCCATTCATTCGCTTCCAAGCAGATATTGTCTGCAGTCTTCACATTCTGCAAGCCATCTAGCTTTACAAAGGTTCATCGCAGCACTGAAATAATAATGCTTCCTGTTCCTTCAAGCTACTCTCTGCGCTACAGTGTTCGGCACGGCTCTAAGCCTTACTGCTCGCCTCTGCTTCACGGCACTGTCGCAGATTACTTGCCTTCTTCTTGACTCACCGCAGACTACAAAGCAATCCCTGGCACTTGCAATTGGACTGCAGTATCGACCTCCGGTCTGAGCAGAGGGTTGATGTGGCGACGCTGTCGTCACGCCACAAGCGAAATATATCGAAGCCTAAATCGCACCAACAAAGTTCCGAAGTTAAAGCAGTATATATAGAATAGCTTCGAACTATCAATCGGAGCGTTGGCCGCTCCCCGGGTAGAACACATTGCCCGGCGGCAGATCTCCTCCTTTCCTTCCACCCGCCACATGCCTATTTCTTATACAAAAGCCACAATAAGTTATGTAGTGAAAAAAAATATTGAAAATGGAAAAGTGATGTATGAGCGTTATTATTAGGCATGGCATATTAACCCTTACGAACGAAAGTTACTTCATCATCAAGACAATTTTATGAAGATAAACTTTGCTCTTTATAGCATGTTATTTGGACGCGTAGGTTAAGAGATAATAAAAAATTAAAATAATAAATAATCTGCTCGGAGCGGGAACGACCGCATAAACCTTAGCCGCCCGATGACATTCGAGAGAAACCAGCAGTGAACGCCTATATTGGTTCGAGAGCTCATGACGCATTTTTAGGAAGTGTTTGATGCATCATGAAACTTTGTCCATAATGCTTCTGGCCTACCCATTCAGTGTATTCACGTATACTCATTTCATCAAAAGTGAGACATAGTTTTAGATCAGCCCCTTTTTTTCTCATTTCTCTAATGGTGTTTAAAGATTTTTGAGTGAAACTAGGTTCACAGTCTAGTCTGGCATACCAGGTACGCAATGTGTTAACATGTGTATATAATTATATGCTCTTGGACTATAGAAATGTATTGTGACAGCAATTTTTCGTAATTCTTCGTTATATTTGGATGCAGACACTATTTTACCATATTTTTTATCATTAACCCTGTTAATTAAATTCTGTATCAATTCATTCCTACATGCCATGGTGATATTGTTATAGTGATCTTTCAAACCTGGTCTTGAATGAATTTCTTCAAGCACGTTTTGCAATGTAACAATTTTTTTAGCCTGTCTTTTAGTTTTTGCTGCTAAGCTACGTATTTTCTTTTGTTTTTCTTTCAGCTTTTGTTTTAATTTCTCGATTTTTGATAATAAATTTTTTTCTTGTTGTAAATTGATCACCTTTCTTGTGATTTCATAGGTGGAGGGGTTATGTCACAAGTGACATATGATGAGGTTACTCTTTCTTTCATCTGTCCCTAAAAATATAAAGTAATAATAAATTTATTATCATTTTAGCTGCATGCATTTAAAAATATAATAATTTTAACATAGACAAGTCAAATACGCCGGAGACATTAAAGTGCACCAAGTGTCCGAGGATACAGATACACTTTTCTATTCTCTCGATCGCAATATGTTAAGAAAACGGTCACCCACACATGGACCGACCAGCAAGTGAACCTTTATCTTGTAGATCTATTGATCTATGCAACTGTTACTTAACTATGAGTTACTCTTCTCTACGAGTAACGCAGTAAGTAATGAACTACACTATCAAGCACTCGGCACACTGTCATCAAGCATCAAGCATGAATCGGACATCAAGCGTTGCGCGTATCAAATACTATGGAATTTATACTATCCTGGTACACTAAATCGCGCGCCTCATGGTATCTAGTGGCGCTTCGGGAGCATTACTCAATAACCATACCTAACTACGCTAAAAGTTTTATCATTGTGACTTAGAAATATATTCCAAAGCTCCGCACAACCCCTTGGGGAAAATATATAATAATAGAGATAGAGTTTTATAATGTATAAAATCTATCTCTATTTTTACCTAAAGCTTTTGATGTTAATTTTTTATACCAGCGTAAAATAGCAGTTTAACACTGCTGTGTTTCGTACGGTAAGTGTAGAGAACCAGAGACCCATTTTACTGGAAACGAGGCATTCCATCTTAGTCTTCATGGGTGATAACGCATCTGCATTTTAATTCGGAGGATAGATGTAGATGTTAATGGGCCACAGCAACCACTTACCATCAGGTGGACTTTGTGCTCGTTTGTCACCCCATCCTATAAAAATAAAAAAAGAAGTCTTATTGTAACAATAATATACTTACTGGTACAAATAATGTAGGAGTGGCTCCTTTTAATAAAGTTGTATTTACTCTGCTTTTTCTTATATATTTCTCAATAAAATGTGTACTACAAAATTGTAGAGTTCTTCTTAGGATTCCGACCAACCCGCCCAATTAGTACCAACCATTTTTTTCTAACCAAAGGATCCAGAGGAATCTGTTTGACAAACGGCAAAATAAAATTTTGTTTTTAGAACGCAAATCGAACATTTAATTTCATTCTTCTTTTTGTTGTGTATAAAAGTCTATCGATTCTTTATACACATTAAAGATAAACATCGACATTAATTTTGATATAGTTGAGTCAATCCCTAGCGTAAATGTAAAATATTTTGTTTAAAAATGAATTCACCAAAATCATACAAATTATCAACAATGTGACTTTTTCTTTGCAAAATATTAAAATTAATAAAATAATTGAAAATATTACATATTTTAAACGGTATATAACATAAATTTTAAGCAAATATAGACGTGTCTTATTATTGACGACGTCTTGCGAATTTACCTGTGAAATGTGCAACCACCAGGATTACTTCTATTGTTGATACCACAGTCACTAACGGAACATGAAACCATTTTGGAAAACTATAAATTATACAAATTAACACTATTATAATAAAAAAACACACAAAATATCTACAAGCTTATTTCTCTGTCATTCAAAATCGGTTACAGAGTCATGAGATTTGGTATCCTTTTCTATCTTGCATTTCTGCCATTAGGAATTTTCTTCTCCCTTGCACTCTATGTTGGTCTATACGTATATCCTAAGTCTATGTTAAAAACCTGCCAAATCCTGCCAAAGTCTGTAGTGAAAAATGCCTAAATACTGCCAACTTTATTTACCATTGTAGTATAAATGCTATATTTTTTTAAATTAA